TTTTTTTTTTTATTGGTCTTATGAAGTATTCTAATTTGTTGAGATAGTGAATTGGTGGGTTTTTGTTAAATGTGAGCCAAAATCATCACAATTAAAAGAACCAAAGACTTAAACTATTTCAGTCTGTGTGCATTGAATTTATTTAATACACGAGTTTCACAATTTGAGTTGAATTACTGAAATAAATGAACTTTTCCACGACATTCTAATTTATTGAGATGCACCTGTATATATATGTATTTAATGTGCTGGTGGTTATGTGTGTATAATCTTTCTGTGAGATTTCTTTGCAGCGTCTTCCGGGAACTGTGTGTTTCTGTCCTTTCTAAGGTAGGTCCTCTGCGAGCACCCCTTTGCTGGATTCAGAAACCAGGTGCTCGACTTGCAATGTTACCTCACTCGTTGATATTGTGTCCAGCCGGTATGATAGCCCAGGTGCCGGCTTCATACTTCCTGGACCATGCGGCCAGGTCAGAGGCTTCTGCGGGAGCCTTCTTGATCATCAGGCCCCCGGTACGACACTGCAAAAAGATTCCTGGATGTCCGGGCTCCAGAATATCCCCTCTTGCTGAGGCATCGAGCGGGAAGTATAGGCGACCCCTAGAGGACGCAGTTCGAAGTTCCCTTGAAAGGGATCGTCTCCGGTTACTTATGTAACGAGACACTGCGTCCTCTAGGCTTCTTGCCATGCTTCGAACGCAAGCTTCAGACGAAGAAGTGAATGACATGTTCTCCCGGCGCCTATTTATACTATAGTCGCACCGGTAGTGACGTCATGGGCTGTCGCCGGCCAACGTGTTGGTGTTTTTTCAATGTATGCTTCAGACACGGGTCACGACGAGGCGTTCCCCATAGCGACCCCTAGAGGACGCAGTGTCTCGTTCCCTACTCAGGGAACCATGGTTACATAAGTAACCTGAGACGTTTTCTCTCATACCAGGTGTAATACTTACTCATTTGCTTTAGTTGTTCAGAGAACTTCGCTTCAAGTCACAGCAGTACATAAAAAAGAAATGAATGGACAGAAGAAATTAATGAACATGATGATACTGTGTGATTCTTCATCATCTGCATGACTTTTGTATGACTTACATATTAGTCTTTTTACTTTATAGTGATTGCTTCGATAATAAATCACAACACCAGCAGCTACAGCTGCTGCAGCAACCAGTAGAATAGCAACACATATTCCTGCTACAGCACCTGGAGACAGACCTGGTTCTGAAATGATAAAGAGAGACAGTCATTAATTGAATATGTAAATTATTAGTAGACAGTAGATTTGTAAGAATAAAGCAACTCACCAGAGACAGTAACAGTGAATCTTTTGAATAAGATCCTTCTGTCGCTGATGATCTTTAGTCTAAATTCTCCAGTATGCTCAGTTTCGAGGTCTGTGATGGTCAGAGATCCAGTCTCACTGTCCAGCTCCAGTCTGCCTCTGAATCTCCCATCATCATCATCATAGTATGACATATGATTGTCTTCTGTATCGCCTTTAGCAATGAGAGATCCTTCAGCTCCAAATCTCCACAGTATTAGATCATGTTTCTGTAGTTCAGTTTCAGTGTGTAGAGTCTCAGAATTTCCCTTCGTGGCTGACAATACCTTTATTTCATCTTTATCTTCAACAGATTTGAGTGGAGATTCTGCAAAAATAGTTTCACAGTGATGACTCTCTCTTAACAGTCAATTATTTCAGCTTGCATACTCTCACAAAGAAGTCCAGATTTAATTGACTCACCTTTCACAATAACTTTGAACGTCTTGGATTTGGTCCCTACGCTGCTGATACTCTCTACTTTATATTCACCTGAGTGTTTGATTCTGATGTTCCAGATGGTGAGAAATCCAGTTTGATCCAGATTAAGTCTGCCGCTAAACATCATCATCAGTTTATCATCACTGTATTCAACTTTACCAGTTCCTTTATTGATTGTTGCGATGTTAGTGTTATTAACTTTCCACTCTGTTAGACCATCTTTCTGCATTTCAATAAAATCAGTCTGTAGAGTAAGAGAATCTCCCTCTATCACTGTCTTCACTCCATCAACACCAAACACACCTGCAGAACAAACGGAAACAGTCGGAGATACTGAGTTCTTTGTTGATTTATCAAATGACATCACATTTGGGTCCCCATATTTCTAGACGTGCATGAACTAACACTGTTTACCTTGAAAGCAATGCAAGTTGCTTTGGATAAAAGCTTTTGTCAAGTTCATATTTGAAAATGTCTGCAATGTCTTAGAATAAAACCTACACCACCAGTTTTCAAATAGACTGTCTACACCCTCAAAAAATGCATGCTCGCTTACTCGCCAAAGCTTGGTGATAGAAGTAGTTTCACAATATAAATATTTAGGATTTTTAATTGAGGATTCCCTCTCTTTTGGGCCTCATGTTCAGCAACTTGTGAAGAAACTAATGTTGAAGTTTAGCTTTTTTTTCAGAGTTAAGTCCTGTCTTTCTTTTAAAGCATGAAAGATATTGGTGGCTACTACTCTCTTGTCAGTGTTGGATTATTGTGAAATTATCTACATGCAGGCGCTTTGTTTAAGCATTGTTTACAGGAGCTGGATTCTGTTTATCATGGAGCATTATGGTTTATTACTAATTCAAAAGCCCTTACCCTTTTTGGGATTTAAACATCCCAAAAGTTTTTACAAATATGGGTAAAATGGCATTTTTTTTAAAAATGTTTGTATAAGTGAATTAATGTATTTGTCCTATGCTCAAATGTTTTTATGTTTAATAAAGTCTGCTGCCTGTCTTGGCCAGCAACCTGATTTTAAATGTGAAATCTCAAGAGTCTTTATTTTCTTGTTAAATAAATTTTAGTAATAAATGAAATAAATAAATATGGATTGAGTAAATAGGGGGATATTAGAAATTTAACAAGGGGCAAACGTTTGTTAAATTAACTTAATAAATGTAGCAGCTAAGGCGAGTGCTAGTGTGTTTATCATCGCTGTCTTAAGGACAGAGTTATTTGCAGCCTTTAAATGGTTTGCCTGATTATTTTGGTGTTGTATTTCAGTGATATCACATGAATTTTTTGCATATTAATGTAAAATGAATCATTCAAACTTCACAGTTTGTTTTATGCTAATTAATGAATTAATGAGGATCTGAAGCCAGCATTTGTGACGCAGGCCAGGTAATCCTGGAGGAAAGTAAAACCGAAAGCATTAAAGAAAATCAGAATTCAATCACTTACCGTCAATGACGAACATGGATAAAAACATTGAAAACACGATCTTCATATTGCTGCGACGTTGAGTGAGAGATGAGTTTGTGGCTTTAAAGGTTGTGGCTATTAATCTCGGTCGTTTGTGAGACACACCCTCATCGTTATAGCATACTCACCGCGTCCGCACGAGCGCAAAGGTGCGAGCTGAACACATGACGTCATCACGGTGAGGGTGAGGGCTGTTGCAGAAATAAAATATTATTTGAGTACAATTTTGATTTCTCTAAAAAAAAACAAAGCAGTCAGAACATGTAATTGCTTTAATTAATGTGATCAACTCAATTAAATATATATATTTAATTTAATTGAGTAGGCCTAATTAAGTATTTTAATTAATTTATTTATTTTTAATTAATTTATATATTTCTAGCTCTGTTTCTGTTTTGAGCTTCGATTTTGATTGTTAAATGCCTTCTTTTTTCTATTGCATTTATTCTTAATAATTATTATGTTTTAAGTTTGTAGTAACTTGAATGTTCAAATAAAGCATTAAAAAAAAGGTTCGACCTAAAACGAGTCAGTAATGAGTAATCATCATCATATGATCATATGTGCAAGTAATGATTTCATATGAGTACATTTTGACCAAACTGGACACCATGCACCGCCAACTTCAGCTACAAGTTACCACTGTTATATAAACACCACATATGATTTTCACAAAGTTCTATTTTTTATTTTATTTTTTTATTTTGCTATTTATATGTTGTTCAATTTATTTCATGCCTCAAGCAGAATAAAAACATTTAAAAAATGCATGCTAAATAATACATGCATCTAAGAGGGTCTCAAGCCTCAGGTTCGTTTTGTTTTGTGTGGATATATTAATACATTAATTAACCTATTATATGAATTCACATAAATCATTCAGATCATTCATAAGCGGATGGTAGCGGTTGCTTCACGACCAAATTGAAAGTTCCATGCGACTGCCACTAGCTATGGCGGGCCGGAAGGTCCAAAAATAAGACTAATAACTTGTTGCGGGAAGTCACTATACTATTGCCAGGAGCTACTGAGTTTGCCACGACTCACCTTCCTCACACGGCGGGCGACTCACTCTCCTCAGCTGGCGACTCACTCTCCTCACACGGCGGGCGACTCACTCTCCTCAGCTGGCGACTCACTCTCCTCACACGGCGGGCGACTCACTCTCCTCAGCTGGCGACTCACTCTCCTCACACGGCGGGCGACTCACTCTCCTCAGCTGGCGACTCACCTTCC